CCCCTAACCCCTAAACCGAGCCGAGGGTCGGTTGACCACTCGCCCATGCGACCGCAAAGGCTGAGGACCCCTTGGTAAGTCCTCGCAGGGACGAGGGAGGGTTCAGGGTTTAGGGTTCAGGGTTCATCTACAAGTTCGGCTGAGATTTAGGGTTCGGGTTTAGGGGTTTGTGGTGGATTTAGGGTTTCGGGATTTAGGTTTAGGGTTTAGGGGTTAGAGGTTTAGGGTTCAGAGTTTAGGGGTTTAGGGGTTAGGGGTTTAGGGGTTTAGGGATGTAGGGTTTCAGGGGTCGTGTGAACCTTCGGAATTTACGAGTTTAAGAGCCTTCCAAGATTTCTCTGTAAGGGTTCTATTATGAGGCTTCGATGGGACTTCTACATGGGTTCTAAAACCTAAGCTGGTTAAGTCCTTCAGTATTGGGCATGCAGGACGCTAGAAACCCCGAGCTCATCATGACGCGCTGATCAACAAAAATAGAGTTTGGGGTTTAGAGTTTAGGGTTTAGGGATCTTCTTATCGCCCAGAAGGCGGTCCTCCCAACCCTGCGCCACCACACCAAATCCCTTTAAGTAAGAGCGAAACTCTGAAACCCTGAAGCTTTAAACCCTGGTCCCACACACACCCCGACACCCTGAAATCCTCCGCCCGAAATCCGGGTCCTGATGCTGGGTTGCAAATTCTCCGTGCGGAGCTCGTTGAGCCTCGATCAAAGGATGTTTTTCGGAAGTACGTAAGTTTGCGGTTAGAGGGTTTAGGTTTCATGTTTAGGTTTCATAAGTTCTACAAGTTACAGGGTTAACGGGGTTGGAGGGTCCATGGTTTAGGGATCGCTGTTTCGCGGTCCGGGGCATCGGGCATTGGGGTTCATTCTCCCTAAACCCTAAACCCTGTAGTGCAAAAGGATTTAGGGCTCTATACCCATAGGCCCCACTTAGTTCCTTTTGGGATTACCTTATTGGATTCTAAATATGAATCCCAAAAAGGAACTACTTAGGGGCCTCTGGGTGGGGTTGGAGTCTAAGCAGGATCGGCCTCGACGTTGAGGCACGGTTCAGGGCTCCTCCAAGTGATTTTTCTTATCAAGGCACGAATGGCTGTAGGGACAGGTGGAAGTGGAAGTACCTGCTATGGCTTGTTGGAGCCAAGACATTTGCAAACTTGATTCATGGTTTGGTGTTGAGGCGCCGCGCTCAGCACAATTCACTGAGTTAGGCTGTCGGAATTCCCGAACCTTTCAACGGCAGAAGGTACAGAGAGAAGCTGCGACCCTCTTCTTCAAGGGTTTAGGATTTTTGGGTTTGGGGTTTAGGGTTAGGGTTTAGGGGGTTCTGGTGGGGGAGGGGGAGGTTTCGCTTTATGGATCTTGAAAGAATGGGTATGAGGCCGTCAGGCCAACCCACAAGAATCACAGCCAAATCTCTAAAAGCCGTGAACCCGAAAGCCCAAATCACCAAAACATCAACCCCGAGCCTAGCGGGTTCACCTTCGGGGGTGGTTTTTGCTGTTGTTTATGTGCCTTTGCATACCCCTCTCCTTCAGCACTGCCTTTTCCCTCACGCAAACACCGTCCTGCGCGAGGTTTTCGCCTTCTTAAATATGTTGCGGTCTTCGTAGCCGATGGTTCTGTCTCATTTCGGTTTTTGTTTGTTTTTCTGCACCAAAACTGACGTCAGTGTTGGTCGTACATTTTGGTTACGACTTCGTTTGAGGCTCCAAAAGCGTGGCCTGTGTGTTATATTCCTGACTCCCTGAAACCATGTTTCTTGCTATCCCACGCTCTGCGCCTTAAGCGTTTTTCTGTCTGTGCAGTTTTCCGTGATGTGCTCTGCTTGCTCTTTGGGGGGGAGGGGTGGGGTGGGGGCTTAATGACGTTCTGTTTCATGGGCAGCCTTAGGCTTCAATCCTAAACTCAACTACGAAAAACGACGAACATATAACGAACGAAACGACAGCAGGAGGAGGACGTGGCCGCAGGCACACGCACCCTCCCCATGCTGGCGAAGGGTTGAGGACGACTAGGGCTGAGGGTTGTGGCTCCAAGGCGAAGCTCTTACAGACGATTCTGGCACACGTCTTCATTTTTTTGCGCACCGTTCTGCAGACGTTCCTAAACAGAGTGACCTAGCTGCACACTTGATCGCGTCAGTTTGAAAACGGCGTATGCATCCAACATATGGACTCTTGTCCCGGACGCCCCGTATCCGCTCTCTGCCTTCTTCGGCATTTTTCTTGCTTCGAGGCATAAACACAGTCTTTCGTCCCAGTGGACACTCCTGCTGGGATCTTCACACAAAACTGTCGTATCATCTATGTAGAGACGTGTTAGAGCTAGGCGCACATCCTTGAAGCTCTTGCGTTTCTGGGCTTAGCATCACCACACAAAACAAGGTCACTACACATACTATCCAAGACTCCTACCATTACAAAGTTTCTCCGGCAACCTATAAACATCGAACCCCGAAAACAACGATACAAAACCACCCCCGCAGGGATAAAAAAAGGGATCAATGTCGCCACCCAGTCGGACAGGGCGTGCATGCATGTTGGGGCAAAAATGATTTCAGCTAGAAGCGGTGGTTTTTCTTAAAAACCCTACGCCCTAAACTCCTTACTTTCAGCATGGAGGTTCAGCCTTGCTCTCTCTATTCGGTGGGGCATAAGGCCTCAGGTGTCGGAAAGTCAAGCCTTAAACTTCAAGCCCTTGCAGCTGCGTGTGTACATACACACACACACACATATATATATATATATATGTATATATACATATGTATATATGTATGTATAGATAGATAGATGTGTGTATATATATATATGTATACATATGTGGATATATACACACACCGGCTATACCCGGCAATCCCTATAGAAATACATTAGCAGCACGACGCCCCATCTCGGTTCGTGCGCTGCGCCCAGCAGGATTTCGGGCACGCCGAAGGCCGAGGAGCCAACGCAGGTTGAGTGCGCCATCGAAAACGACCAGGCACTGGCTTCTTTCCTTAAACTACCAGAACCTACTGTTTTGTAGGGTCCCTATAAATTCTATATTAGGGTTTAGGGTTTAGGGTTCCCAATACCCCTCAATTAAGGAAGTAGACCTTAAATTATAGGGAATGTTATGATTGAAGGTATATTTCTTATTTAAGGGGTATGTTCTCTGGGTTCTTTAGGCTTGCAGGGTTGCAAAGGGCCATTTGGATGCCAGGGGTTTTAGGCCTTTGCGGGTTGAAGGGTGTCTGGCGAAAGGAAAGCAACTCTGTCTGTTGCACAGTCTGCGTGCATCTTTCAAGGAGGGCGAAGCTGGAGAACACTGCTAACGCAGTTCGAGTTGAACATCTGATCCACTAGATGTAACCCCCGGCCAACAGTAGATCTTCGTAGCTCTGCTACTGCGCCGCTTCGCCCCGGCACTGCACTGGGTTGGGAGTAACATGGAGTGGTCCTTTTTCACCTGCTTTAGCTGCTTGCCTGAAGAAGAGGTGCGGGTGTGTTAAGGTCCATCTGTTCTTCGGCACGCGTCCCAGGAACGTGTACGTGCAGCATGCCTTCTCCATTCTTTATTCCTAGGGTTCCTTCCGAACGCCGATGATCTGTGCTGACGTAACCGCCGGCTCGGGCCCACGGGACATGGGCTCGGCAACTCAACGTGCACGGTCGCGCTGCTAGTGGTCCATGGCGCCCTGAATTCCACAGCGAAACCTCTGAAGACTCGCACCCTAGGGCCTAAATTCCTACTCTTCCATCGCAGAACCCGAAGCCTGGCGCCCAAAGCCCTGAACCAGGCAGAGCCACCGAACAGCTTGTAGCTGGCCTCCGTGAGTAGATCATAAACCGTAAACCCCTGTTGCCATAGACTACTACGTATGACCCGGGGTGGGGCCGGCACTCGCCTACTGCGCAGCTCCGTCCAGCCACGTCCCGAGAATCCTGGCCCTGCCCCTTTAGGGTTTAGGGATTGGGTTTCTCTGAATCTCGAGTTGATCGTGCAAAGATGATGTTCAAAGCGGAATGCCGGTTTTGCAACGTGGTTTGGCGCAGGGCAGCGGCTTGGTGGCCAACACCACCGTCACCATCGATCTTCAGCACCCCTGAAGCCCTGAGATGATGCTTTGCGGGTTTGGATTCACATGCAGGACTGAAGCTGAGAACCGAGAGGCCCTAAGCCCCGGAACTCTGCCTTGGCCTGAGCTCCTGCGAAACTCCATTTTTTCCTGTACTTTTCATACACCTGCATCTCGATAGTTCCAGAATGATGATGATGCCCATAGGCTCCTTAGTAGTTCCTTTTTGGGATTACCTTATAGGATTCTGAATATGAACCGTAAAAGGAACTACTTAGGATCCTATGGGTGATGATGATGATGATGAGACCTTTGACGTAGGCTTCTTCGCCGAGGCATTTCGCTTACGATGCCCAAGTTCTCTCCTTCCCGGCGCCTGCCGGAAAGTACTCGCCACGGGTTGGCAGCGGTGCTTCTTGGAGTGCAGTTTGAGGGCGTAGGACTGAAAGCGAAGAGGTGGGTTGCCAAGCAGGGTTCAGTATAAATGCTGAAAAGGGGTCAGCACAGAGTTCCAAAATGCCACCGTTTGGGCTTGGTGGTTTCTACTGATCGACTCCAGACATGTGCAGCAAGCCCAAGTCCCTATTTTTGATACCTTCCGTAGTCCGTACCCCTTGCTCCTCAACAGGTTCACGAGCTACGGAGGGAAGGAGGGAGGATGAGGGAACGAGGGGCACAGCATAGCCTGGCCGACAGACTGCACCATTGTGAGGACCTCAAGGACGGCCTGGAGTGCGATTACTTCTACTACGACGAGGCTCAGTGCAATATCCCGAACCTCGGTACCATGAGCCTTGGCAGCACTTGGTAGCACGAAGCCGTTGCCCGCCTTTCTTTCGCGCAGCGGCGCGTCGTTTTTCAAGGAACCCGTCCCACAGTGCTCTCGTGGACCATCTCTACATGGACCGGGCAGCTCAGAGAACTTCGGGAAGCGTTCAGATGGTGACACGTGCCGCAAGGAGAGCAACCAATTCCCCAACGTTCAGCAAACCGACGATTTCTGCCAGAGGCAAGGTGGAGTGCCGAGCAATAGACGAGGTAGGGGCCTGTCGATGCCTGCGCAGGTGCAAAGGGTTTCTTGTTGTACGACAAGAGGGCAACTACAAGTTCTACACCACCTCGGACGATGGCCCCTGGACAAGGGCAAGGGCAAGGGGTGGGGGCGGGGGCATGACATGCGGGAGGGCACTGGAGAGCAGCCGTCAATCCGGTGTGAGAGGTTCGAACCTGTACTTGAACGGGGAGAAGATTGTCGACAACGACGGCTGCCACGGTCAGAGGGAGAGAAGTAGCAGCTCGAAGCTGCTGAGCTCAGGCGCTCACGAGCTGATCGTGGACTTTTGCGAAGCCCGAGGCGGCGAGAGACTATATGTGCACTACGAAGGGCCAGACACCAGCAACTCCAAGGTGACGATCCCCAAGGAAGATCTGAAGCACCGCAAGGCGCATCCGCAGGGTTGGGGTGGGGAGTGTTTCTTTGCTGCGAGGTGGAGAGCCAGGCCACAATGCAAGCTCCTGAATAAATGTCCTGCAGTAGCACCTGCTGAAATAGAAGTGGCAAGAGAAACTTAAGCCGCCGCAGTTCGTGACAAATTCGATGTTGGCTTGGAGTTGGGTCTTGGACCGATCGGGCCGAGAGGGGCCTTGCGATAGCAGAGGCAGATACGAATGTTACGAATGTCGATGGTTCAGGAACTCTTTAGGCAAAACACAGGTGAGGCGACAAAGCACCCCTCCTCTGGCTGAAGGCGGATTTTATGCCAATAGCTGCTAACACTTAAACTTTCTCCGAGGCACAAACAACTCTCTGGCGGGGAGGGGGGGGGAGGGGGGGAGGGGGGCGCGCATAATAAACCTCTTACTCCTTTTCCGTCGGGGCAGCGCTCGGCTTGACTGTGGGTTGTCTTGTGCCACCCCGTGAGTAAGCATACCCATCAACATATGCAATCATACCTGCGAGTTTAGGATGAAGTTGTTATCCCCTCATTCCATCGTTGCCTTGGGCTTGCATTGTCCACCACCCCAGTCAACATTTCAGGACCTCTGAAGCACATGTGCCAGTCGGGCCTGCTTTAGGCTAGTCCCTTTTTGATGCATTGGGAAGGGGGTCTGAAGCAGACGGAAAGGCCGGGTCGCTGGGTTCTTCGGCCTGCTAACGGAAATATTCAAACAGCATCACCAGGTTTAGGGTTTAGGGACTAATCCAGAGACTCCATTATTCCTTAATTAAGGAATATACCTTAAATTCCAACGGGAACCCTAATAAGATGTAAGGTATATTCCATAATTAAGGAATATTGGAGTCTCTGAGAAGTAGGATTCTTTGTCTAAGCCCTGACCCAGTAGCTAGCCAAGCATGAAGCAACGGCTCTGTCCACGTCCCATAGCGCTTTCTAACGTGGCCCAGACCAGAACTCATTGCTGCTTCTTGGCAGCCCTTTAAAGAGGGAGCACCGGCTCCTTCCTGTAGAGACCGACGTTATACCTTAAACTACCAGAACCTACTTTTTTGTAGGGTCCCGATAAATTCTATATTGGGGTTTATAATAAGAACCTACAAAAAAGTCGGTTCTGGCAGCTTAAGGTATGTGATGTCCTGTGACTCTTGTGGCAAATGACCCTGGCGTACCCAAAGCAGGAACTTTCCTACACGAACTGGCGCGTTGCGTGCACCCCTTCCGCGCCATGGCTGAGCATCTCGAGCATCCCGGAGGCGTTTACTTCGTGGCCCGAATGGCAGCAGGTTCTGGTCTTCAATGACGTTCCCAGAGAACCCAATACCCCTTTAATTAAGGAATATACCTTAAATTATAGGGGCCTTCATATTATGATTTGCGGTATATTCCTGAATTGAGGGGCATTGGGTTCTCTGGGTTGGTATTGCGAGAGAAGTCTTAATGTTTAAAGACTCGGGTTCTCCACAGCGTGGCCATTTGATGTCGAGATCTGGATCATAGATCGTAAATCCAGCAGCAGGTACGAAATTGTGACTTCTTGGGCGTCTGTTCTGTAGCAGAGAAAGACTCTGCCTTTGCTGCCTAAAACGAATTTGCTCAGTAAGCAGTAAGCGTGCGTGGCCGCAGAGGAACTAAGGTGGCGAGGAATGGTGACTTGGGTCTTTTATAGGCGTTTCAGCTAGATGGAGCCTCTGTAACAATGTAGATAGATTGCCTCGAAGGGTTGTTGTGAGATCTTGAGTTTTTCTCTCGGTGTCACCATGCGCTCCACGTAGAAGAGTTGGAGTTAGTTGCTGGAGAAGGGCGCCCAGAGCTGGTTGTTGGAGCAGCAGGTAATACATCCGGGGAGATGCCAATCCGCCCCCTAAGCCCTAAAACCCGAAACCCTACACCCTTAACCCGAAAACCGAAACCCTAAACCCTAGACCCTAAACCCTAAACCCTAAAAGCCCTAAAAACCCTCAAAAACCTTAAAAACCTTAAAAGCCCTAAAAACCCTAAAAACCCTAACTCCCTTAAGCGCCAAGGTCAAGGAGACCTTTCGGCCGTGACCTCCGGCGATCTTCTCCCCGAGGCGGCCTTCTGCACCGTCACGGCCCCTCGCCCTCATCCGCTGTGTGTGTGTGTGTTTTTTTTTTTCTGTGGGTGTTTAGGGTTTAGGGTTTAGGGTATTTACGGCTTTTAGGGCTTTTAGGGTTTAGGGTTTAGGATTACGGAAACATTGAGGGTTATGTGTATCTTTGGACCTTTTAGCAACGTAGTCGCGGTCCAAATTTCAAACATAAGGTGTGCCTTTGAATTATGCATTGAAGTGAGGAGCACTATCTATGCCCATAGACGAAAGCCAGTATACGCACACGACCACCCTTGAGAGAGACACCGAAGAGAGCGTGCGTCAGTCGGTCTATGTGGGGCCGCCATATTGAATCAGAGCGCCAGAAGCTAGATGGCCCGCACAGGGATAGCATTTGCACAAGCCGAAACCTCGACGCGCCAACGTGCACAGCTCAGGCGTTCAATGGGACTGTGGACCAGATGCTCTCCTTGCCCGTTGTCTACCCGAGCTATTGGGCGACTTCGGCGGCACGTAAGAAAAGAAGAATAGAGCTAAGCAAACAAAAAAAGGAACGAAGACGTTGGACTTTGCAATACAAAGAGTCCTTCTCAGGAAACACAAGAACTTGTTAGTAACAGAGCTCAGTCAGAGCTGAAGAGCAAGAGTCCGCTTTGCTGGTTCAGGTGAGGAACCTTCTAAGGATCTCCATGCAGCAAAGTCCGCGCAGATGTGAGCTTACCCAGCATTGATGTAGGCCGTGTCGGCCGTGCTTGTATATGTCGGACCACAAGCATGTAGACACCAATTCTTGAAAATCCCTCTGATCAGAGGTAAAGCCCACAGAGCCTTGCTCTTTGAGCCTGATTAACCGGAGCATAAGAGGGGTCTTTGAAGCCCTAGATAAATTTAAACCCTCGAAGCCTCCACCTGAAGCCCTAAAACCCTGCCAGCCGGAAAGCTCGAAACTCTACTGTTTAGACTAGATTATATACCTCCAATCCAACCTAGATCTCTAATACTGCCCCTTTCACTGCTCTAGAGAAGGCCCGATAAGCCCGGCTGTCCAGGCCTCGATGCAGTTCAAGGAGGTGGTCGGAGAGAAGAAGGTGGCTGTTGGCTGCTGGGCCCCACAACAAAGGGGCGGTTGAAGGATCCTAAGAGAGGGTTTCTGCGGGTTCTGGTGTTGTAGGGTTTAGGGGTTTAGGATTTAGGGTTTAGGGTTTAGGGTTGGGTTCCTCGATTCCGCTCTCGATTCTTTTTTGGGATGGCAGGCCCTTGAAAAAGGAGTGAGCAAGCAGTGCCCATCCATAAACAGGCGTTGCGACAGCTGGCCATCCCCCTTAAACCCCAAACCCTGAATCCTAAACCCTAAGCCCTAAGCCTAAAGCCTAAAACCCTAAACCCTAAACCCTAAAACCCTACGCCCTAAAACCCTAAACCCTAAAACCCTAAACCCTAAGCCTTAAACTTAAACCCTAAAACCCTAAACCCTAAACCACCAGGCCCCAAAGCATCCTAAGCCGACCTGCCGGAGTAAGAAGTTTTCCGGGGGTTACTTTGGGGGTTTTGGTGCGGGCCCTATGGGGTCCGCGCGGGTTAGGGTTTAGGGTTTTGGGGTTTAGGGTTTAGGGGACTCATTTCAGACTGACTCTTAGAGGCTGAGTAGGTAACCTTTAACCTCTTGGTGCTTCTATCATCCTGCTATAGTTCGAAAGGTTAACCTTTTTTGGGCTAGGGTACTCAGCCCCTAAGGACCAAGTAGCAACCTCGAAGAGTCAATGTTTTGTGTTTCAGAAAAACTTTCGGTTGCAGCACTACTTGCAAGAGAATTCCGGCCAGTGAGTGTCATGACTTCGAAGTATGTATGGGGCAAGCTATCACCCCTAAAGCAAAACCGCTCATGCCAAGAAATGCAAAACAAGAAACACATGATTCGACCTTTCGACCGCAGCCCTGGCAGACGCCGGCCTCTGTGAGAAGAAGTGTAAAGCTTAAAGGCCAGTTCTACTCCCCGTCAGGCAAATCCCATGAACACGAGGTCGACCCCCTCATAAGCTACCCCTCAGCCTCTGCTGAAACGCAAGAAAGTCCTAAATGCTTGCAGCCAAAGCCCTCAAGCCATCCATGCCATCTTCCGATTTCAAGCTGAGGCTCCACGCTGAACTTGGTGGCCGCCCGGGCGATCCCAGCCCTGACGTTGGTGGGTGAGGGCTCCACGCCACCGGCGGCGTTCAGCGTCCCCTGGATGTGGCTTACATACCCATAGCCCCCTAAGTAATTCCTTTCTGGGATTACCTTAT